ATATATACACTGAGAAAAGTTGAACACCTACTAGCATCCAGTTGATTCTCAGCGGAGGGTGAAGGTATCAAATACACCAATTCAAAAGAAGGAATAGGAAATGTCTTCGGTGTCGCTCACATTGAATCCAAATGGCTCGGCCCAGTCGCTCGGCTCGCTCCATGGCCTTCACTCACACCCTGGTGGCCAGTCATTCAATGGGGCTCATTCACTTCACGGCTCCGCGCCCTCCACACTCCGTTGCACGGGCACACCACAGCAGCCGATGCCGAAGTATGTGGAGGCGTTGGACCATCTCAGCACCAAACTGAAAATCCCTGCGAGCGCAGTAGAACCGACAAATGCGCTGCAGGATGACGGTCTTGTTCCGGGTATTTGCCGTCTGCACCTCGAGGGTCGTTGCAGGCAAGGCAGCCGTTGCTTCCAGGTGCATGTCCACTGGGATGTTTTGGAGGCGCTCCGCAAGGAGGCCCTTGAGACTCCCTCATGCTGCTATCTTCATGGTGCACCGTGCAACTACGAAGGTCTGCCGTTTAACTTAACGGTAAACATTGGCAGCAGATCAATTGGGCTGCATTCCCTGAGCCCAACCAGCTGCCTCTGGAATGCATACAACGAACATGGTGAGAATCAGCTTACTGTCTCAAAAGGACGTGTTTGCCGAGAGCACAGGCGGGGTCTGTGCCGCTTCGGCGAGGAATGCGGATTCCTGCATATCTGCCGAGAAGTCCCACTCGACGGAGAGGACTACATCAGCGCCACACCTATTCCTACTCCACGTGTAAATCCCAAAGCTGGTAACACAAACGGTTCTCCTGCAGCTAACAACAACAATGGTGAAGCCAGTGGTGAGGGATGTGTACAACGTGCTAATGAAAGCCATGCTGAAGAAGGCTATGTTACTGCACAATCCTTCAATGCCAGCAGCTTTACTGCTGCTAGCTTCAACGGAGGGTATCCTGTTGGTGGTCTCAGCGCTCTTTGCGGCAATGGCTTGCACCAGTGCGGTTCTTTTCTGGGTGGGGAAAGTGCATGCGGTTCTGTAAATAGTTTTTCTCGTAGCCGTCAGTCGTTCAGTTGCCGCATGAAACAAATGCCCGACGGCGATGGGACGGCGTACAAGGCACCACTTCTGCGTCCGTTGGGGGGAAGCCAAGCTCGTAACTCGATAAGTCAGCGGCACAATCCCTACGCAGATGCTTCTTCTCCCCACTAAAAGGGAAGTACAGAGCTAATAACAAGA